ATGGCGGGCTGCGAGGACGACGATGACCCGAAGCGAGAGAAGAGTTCGATATCCTTCACGAGCTTCAATTACATCAACTCGATCGTCGGCAGCGGTGTTATAGGTACGAAGGAGGTTTCAATCCTCCATTCCCTTCGATTTCGTATAGTTGAGGGGGTGGGGTGCTCGTTCTTTATTTATCTATTCATTTATTGATGTTATCAATTTCATTATTTATAGGTTTCTTTATTTGTTCTTTGTTTTTTATTATAGTTTTATTGGTTTCATGTTTATCCTCTTTTTCTTTTTCTTTTTTTTTCACGATGTGTGATATTAGCTAAATATTATACTGTACCGTAACGTTATTGTGATACCTAATGGCATTTATTCGCTGTAATATATATCAAGTTCATTAGGGCTTTTATTCATTTATCTCTTTTATGAGTTTGAGTGTTTATAAGGATACATCACACGAAAAAAAAATTACTTCTCTCAGAAAAAAACTAAATTAGACTAACACTATCAATTTTAGATTCTATCTATTTTTTTCATTAAAACTAGACTTCAGAAACTTCGATCTGCATATAAAGAATAAAAGAAAAGAGACTTACCTACATAGTAATTATAACTATAATTTAGTTTTATTCCATAAGTCACAATGGATATTCATGGTGTGACATGCTGTCGAATGGAAGGTGGATGTGTAGCCCGTAGATTTAATTTTGGCGCCTGCTAATGCCGTAAGATTTGATTTACTGCTCAAGATGCGAGAGGAGCAAAGCGGCTATTGATCACCTTGGCTCCTACCTGTCTGTCTATCAATTTATCTATCTGTGGAATGAACTATCTGTCTGTGTGATCTATTCTTATCTGTGTCTATTTCCATATTTGATACTCGTCTCCCTCTCTCTCTCTCTCTCTCTCTCTCTCTCTCTCTCTCTCTCTCTCTCTCTCTCTCTCTCTCTCTCTCTCTCTCTTTCTGTCTCTCTCTCTTTCTGTCTCTCTCTCTCTCTCTCTCTCTCTCACTCTCTCTCTCTCTCTCTCTCTCTCTCTCTCTCTCTCTCTCTCTCTCTCTCTCTCTCTCTCTCTCTCTCTCTCTCTCTCTCTCTCTTTCTCTCTTTCTCTCTCTCTGTCTATCTATCTATCGAGCTATTTATTTATCTATCTATTTTTCTCTATCTCTCTGTCTATCTATCTATCGAGCTATTTATTTATCTATCTATCTATTTCTCTCTATCTTTCTGTCTATCTATCTGTTTGTTTATCTGTTTATATATTTCTCTCTGACTCTGTTTTTCTCTTTCCCTCTCACTTTCTCTATTTATCTCTCTCACTTTCTCTCTTTCTCTCTCTCTCTTTCTCTCTCTCTCTCTTTCTCTCTCTCTCTCTCTCTCTCTCTCTCTCTCTCTCTCTCTCTCTCTCTCTCTCTCTCTCTCTCTCTCTCTCTCTCTCTCTCTCCCTCCCTCCCTCTTCCTCTTTCACAACCATCGAAACAAATAAACGCAACCTCTTTCCCCACAATAAGACCCGCTAAAACCCGCATGATGCGTCAGATACGAGACAAAGTTACGGAAAGCCACGACAGGTAATTTTGGGTGCTGTCTGCTTCCACGAAGAGATAATTTTTCCCGCCCTAATCCCCTCCAGTAGAAATGTTTGGAGAACAAAAGTAGAGTTTTTAAACGGGAAACGGATGTAAAAGAATTTTTCCTCTTCTTCTTCTTCCTTTCTTTTTTCTTTTTTTTGGATGGAAAACAGAGATAGATGCGAGTTTTTTTTTTTTTTTTTTTTTTTTTTTTTTTTTTTTTTTTTTTTTTGACTGTGCAATATTTTGAAGTCGACGGATTTAGTCAATGAGGATGTCAAGGTCGGGAATGTCGATCAGGATTTGTATCTGCGTATATCATTGTAATCGGTTGGGATGAATGAAGATTTATGATCTTATATTACGGATGGATAAAAAAGAGACGGCGTGTTACCGTGATTTAAGTTGATATCCATTTGAAAGTTTTATCCAACTCCTTGCAATTTATTATAGAGTTTTAAATTTACAATGGAATGTGGAGTGTTTATTGCTCTTTGGATTTATGTTTCCTTTTTTTCAGTCTTTCCGTATCGGTATTCATGAATGGCAATTTTCTACGTGTGTGTACAGCTTGAAATTATATTGCCAGAGGTCTCGTTGATGCATTTACATATCTATTATTTATATTTATATCTGTTATATATCAAAACGTAATCCCGTTGCACTACTTTTCCCCTTTTCATCTTTTCATTCTACCACTATCTCTTTATCGTAACATCCACCTGCTAAAACATACAACAAAGCAACACCCATAATACCCTCATCTCCTCTATGCCTTTCCTTAACTCACAAATGACATATCTTTCACTCCAGGAATGCCCTTAGCCCTACACGAGGCAGGCTTCGGGGTCGGCCTCCTCCTGCTGGTGCTGGTGTCTCTCATCACGGACGCCTCCCTCTGCCTCATGATCGCTGTGGCGCGGACCGTGCAGGCCA